CCTGCGCCGTGCTCATCGAGCTAACTGCCACTACGACGTCGCGTTTATATCGTCTTATATCGTCGTGATCAGGGCCGTTTCAGGAAGGATGTAATGAGCCCGCCCGCAGCATTTCTACCATTTGTTGCATTCCTTCTGAATCGATCACTAACTAATCATTTTTGGTAGAGAGAGGCAGCCGGGTGCGGGCTCATTCCGTCCCTCCTAAAATCGCTCCGATTGGCGAGGAGATCAGCTACATGTAGACAGCCACCTATGAGCTGAACACTGGGCGCATTTCACTCTGCAGAGTAGTCCTTTGAGTTTTCGGAGTTGGGCCAAACCTTACACAGCTGACTGTTGAAGATATGAGTCGACTTCTTGGACGTTATTCAAATGAGTTTTTTCGAGAGTTGAATATCTCGAACATTCAAAAGAGCTGTGGATAGGGAGGGGCGGAGAATGACTCAAGGTGTAGTTGAATTATAAGCACAACTAGTAGGACGTTAGAAGCTTTCCTCATTCAAAAGATCACAAACGTTTTTGTGAGGTTGGGATCCCCATTCATACGGCCAATCATACACCTGACTGTATCTGGACGACGCTTGACTGGACTCGCATAGCAGCCATGACAAGAAACTCGTTAAAGGACAGCTCCCCCGCTCAAGCAATTTCGATTGGTTTCATCTTTCTTGTTACAAGCATTAGTCCAGTCCCCCAACGCTGGAGTCCTCAGCCCAATCTAAGAATTGTCCACCTCTCGCGCACTCACTTAAACAATGCGAGTAGCGTGAGTGCCCGATGCTAGATGTCGCTGACGGGCGTGCCCCAGTTGTTTGTTGTTGAGCGAGCGCGGCAAATTCAACGACGAAATATGGTGTTCTTTGGACCGCACTCGTGCCCATAAGTAATCCTGCTCTCCTTTATTACATTTTAATCATTATAAGCACGTACCGTCAACCGCAACCTATGTCACAAGGTAAAACTAGTAAAAATCATGCGTGATGCAATTTTCATGGTGCAAAAGCTCAGCGTGCACAAAAGACACCGTAACCCCGAATTCGTACGTTGAGTTTTTTGAAAGTTTCTTTCTGTCAGGAGTTTTCCAACGGTGTTTGTTGTTTTTAGAAATCTTCCCTTTGCACTGGATGATATCCACTACTGGGAGATGAGGAAAAGCAATTTAGCCAGGGGTTGCACAGAGACCGCAGAGCGGTGTGACTGTCAGGGAGCGATTTTGTTTATGGTGTTCTTGAGGCTCTTCTTGCTTTTTTTCTTCTTTGGGGAATTACTTATCAGCTACTGTTTCATAATTGAAAAGCAACTATCCATGACACTTTTATCGCGGGAGCTGTCTTTAGGCTGTCACATGCATCTAGTTTGCCGCGCACTTTGCAATACCTTTACTGTTACGCATTTAGCAGTACGTACCTGTTCACCTTACCAAGGCATCCTCCTTTCAGCTGATGGTGCAGTGTATTTTTATGTATTTTTAAGATGAGTCTGTGCGCAGAAAAAACACTAAAACTCAGCTCGGGTTGCAGGATGACAAATTTCATTGACTTACTTGTCAATATTACTGGCTCACTCTCACTTTTCTGAATACGGTAGCTTTAGACAAGTTTTCAGATCTCTCGCAACTACTCGACCAGAAGCACACTCTTGAAACAGGATACTTCCAGCTCGAGGGAACCACTGCAAAGTTCCCCAGCACACAAACTGAAATCGACCCGTTTGTGACGATTCACCACAACTGCGACATGGATGAACGACAAACAGCTAACGTAGAATATTACAATATTTATTAGAATATATTTAGTCCATGTAATGCCAACAAAGTCTTTCTGAAGAATCACGGGAGTGCTTTAGCTTGGATACAAGCGATGGGCGATTCGATTACCGCAGGAGTACGTTACGACAGGAACAAAAGCAAGAAAGGTGAAGAGCTGAACTTTCATAGCTAAGCTCGCTATTGTAACTCTGTTTTTACCGTATTTTTGATAACGGTGCCTGTGACATCTAGGTCGCCGTGTCTTGCGTTGTTCGTAATTGACAGAACTCGCGCTCAAGCAATTGTAGGATCCATTCTTT